AAATGCGGACATCTATTATTTACATATATTACATCTTATTCAACTTTTTTATAGTATTCTAAAAGTATTTAAATGGCTTTCCATTGAGAATAAGTGAGATTTTTGTTTAGTAAACTTTACTTTTTATTTTGCACGAGTATTAACTCTATTAAATAAATTTATGTCTTGACAAACAGTGAGATTTATAAAAGTATAAATTATCATGTAGTAGAATTTTATATTAATCATAAAGTCTATATAAACACTAGACATTTTATTGATGAAAAATTAGCAATAAAATATATTTCATCATTAAAATTATTTGTTATTTAAATATTTATTACTTTTCTCTGACACTGACATGCTCCTATTAGATTCAATCTTACTTTTATTTATTATATACTATTATTCCCCATAGTTATTTAGTACTTCTTTGCTTCTAAAATATTATAAATAATTCCAGCTTAGCCGTATTAAGAAAAAATAAGCTGGTTAATGTAAAAAATAACCCCAATTAGCCTATCAGCATATATCTCTCTCTCCTAGTCTCGTCTCAGCTTCTGGGAGATACCAACTGCCGCTGACTCTAATTTTTTTGTATTAGCGCTGCGTCGAGCTAAAATCTAAACAAAAAAAGCGCAGAAAAAAAGCCAGGAATTAATTGAAAATTCAGTAGCAATTATTAACATGGATTTACCAATAATTGGCTAATATTGGTGATATTACTGCATTTTTGCGTATGTAAAATTATTTAATTTAAAGCTTTTTTTAAATAAAAAAAAATATGGGAATTTTTTTGATCTGGAATATCGAGTCCTTGAAATCCGAAACCATTAAAAAATTGATAATAAATTAACTACAAAGTTGACGCAAAATTTTCTAAATTATATAAATTTTTCAATAAAATCGAGTATTTAAACCAATATATAATACGATATTGGGCTCAATTTTTTTTTTCTCGTAAGGAAAATATATCACAAAATACAAAAATAATTTTTTTTAAAATTTAATAAAAATTCTAAAAAATTATTCAAAAAAAAATCTAAAAATGTTATTAAAATATTTTGAAAATTCTTAAAAAGTTATATATTTTTTATATGTAATCTATCCAACCACACTCCGGCTCACTAGAGCCTCCATATCCATTGGGCATTGGCTCAAGGGGATTGGTGAGCACTTTATGTTATCAACAATAAGTGCTAGAGTAACATGTATACCATTAATAGACTTTGCTACTTCCAGCTCTATTGATAATGATATATTGGTATAAGGATCTTATTTAAGGGAAAGATTTATTAGAATAATGGTAAATAAAGCAAAAGAAAGAGAAAAAAAGTTGAAATGCTTGGCTTCCCCAAAGTGGGAAGTTGTTTGCTTATATAATTCGGTGTTTTACATTAAGAAGACTGAAATTTGGTTTCAAGCCAAATTTCAGGGGTAATATTTAATTGCTTTTTATTGGAACATTACAATCGGTGTCCTTTTTTAATTTGAGTTGGGGAAAATATAATTTTGACTCCCCCCTAAGGAGTTTGCCTACAAGCACTCTTCGAGCTTCTTTGAGCATTTCATTATTAATTATGTTTTCCAGTTTACATAGTCGAGGTATATACTGAACTATTGTAGCTTTTCTTATTACTACCCACCGACTGCAGTCAAAAAGTATATGTTAAATGTCTTCTGAGATATTACAGTGGCAAAGCAGGCACATATTCGCATATATGTTTTGTATATGTTTTGTATATATTTTAATTTGCCTAGTTTTTAATTAATTCCAGCTAAAAAACTATAATAATTGTGATAATTTTACTTTTGTATTTTAAAATACTAAAATTTAAAAAATATGCCAGATGGAAACAATGAAGAAAATATTGTATTCAGATGAAAATCCGACCAGCCAAATAACTATATCTTTAATTTACACTACTCTAATATTTTAACTAATAAAATATGATAATTAAATAAACTTTTAAAAATAAAAAAAATATATAAAAATATGAGTTTATATTTGACTTCTTTTAATTTCAAAATCAAATCAAAAAATGTATTAGTCATCAAACGTTAACGTACTGGAGTAAAAATACTGACTCAGCCAGGGGTCGAACCTGGAATCTCTTGATTCGTAGTCAAGCGCCTTGTCCATTGGGCCACAGAGCCACCTCCGATACGGGGAATCGAACCCCGACCGCCTCGGTGAAAGCGAGGAATCCTAGCCATTGGACCATATCGGATTAGTATAATATAAAATAAAACTATTAAATTATAATAATTTTTTCTAAGTGGTTTTGGATTACCCTGGATTGCTGTAGTAATACTGTATGATTGTCATGAGGTTAGCTTATGAAATCATAATGACAATCATCTATTAGTATTATACTTTTAAACTAATATATACATTAACGTAGCATTACTACTACTTGCGTATAAAAATATATAATTCAGGTAGTTTTACTAAAATGAGAAAGTGTCATGTTCCTATTGGCATAATTCTTTAAAGTAAATATTTACCATTCTTACCCCATAATTATACTTTAATATTTCTTAGTTTAATAATATATTTAAAGATCCAGCTTAGCCGAGATTATGAAAGGCTAAGCTGGTTAATGTGAATAATAAACATCTATCCAATCAATATCTTTCTCTTGTCTTTCCTTGTTTCCCTCTCCCAGTTTCTGCCCCTGACAGAAAGCCATTCTTTTTGATCACAACTAAAATAAACTTTAAAATAAAACAGATTATATTTAGTAAATAAAATTCTGTATTCTAAAACTAGGAAAAGTAGTAATACATTTAAATAACTACAACAGATGTATATAATATTTTTTTAAAATTTGTTTGTTGTTTATGTGCTAATAATAATTCAAAGCATAAGCTGGTATTTTATAATATTTTGTCTTATTTTTGGCAACGCATTTAAATCAAA